TAGCTCAGTCGATATAGCAAAGGATTACGGGTTAGACGGCTGGGTTTCGATTTCCGGCAGGAGCTAGAGATATTTCTCGTCTCCGTGGCGTTCATACCAGCTGTGGGGCCTGTCCAGTTGGTAGTGGGGGTCCTTACCTCAGGGGGCAAAGTGGCTGGGGTAAAAAACTAATCACTCGCTTCCGTCTAGTGCTGCAATCACCCATGCGTTTTCATGACATGATGTTTATGAACACAGACACAATTTTAATTTTATATTATTGTTGTTATTATTAAGGGGCACGCGGTAGAGTAGTTGGTTGAGGCACTATGCTACAAGCCAGAAGGTTGTGGGATCGAATCCCGATGAGGCAATTTGATTTTTTCAATTTACTTAATCCTTCCAGCCGCACTATGGCCCTGGGGTCGACTCAGCCTCTAACAAAAATGAGTACCAAAAATATTTTTGGAATGTTCTTGGGGGTAAAGGGCGGCCGGGCCTTAAGGCTGACAACCTTACCGCCATCTGTCAGTGTCTAGAGAAAATGTGGGAGCCTCGACGTCTCACAACCCTATGGGCTTCCACGGCCTGTTACACGGATACCTTTACTTCTTTACTTATTGTTATTATTATCATTAGTTTGTTTTACATAAGGAAAGAAATTATGCTTATGAGGATTTTAGGTTCTCACAGTGATGAGTTCTCTCTTCTTGGATATAACACCGTGTAGCTCTGTGAAAATAAACCAGAGTCTCTGAAAAATATATCAACTCCATCTTCAGGGTCGGAAAGTTAACCAAGCATGAAGCCTTCATGAAGCTGAATTGTACTTGCTGTCTGCCGCCTTTTGGTTTCTTGCTTGGCTTATCCTTTGAAGCTGAAGATGGATCGATATCTTCCTCCGAAACATCTATTGAGTTTTCACCGGAATACACAGCGTTTTATCCTATAAGACAGAAGTCCTTGTTATGAGATGACCACGCTGAGTGCGTGTGACCTCACTTTTAAACTCTTGAATCAGTTGCTCAGTCTTCAAGAAATCCGGCGTGGACATTATTATATATTATTCAATTCCCAGCAATCTCTTGTAACAACATAAACACGAAAAGACCTGAGAATTGGGAGCGACGCTAGTGCTGCTTAATATGTATCGTTATGGTGATGAATCTTCGAGATGATCCAGCATTCTTGCTCGGATAATTCTTTTGTGGAAGGCAAAATAATAACATGGGGGCCACGGAAAAATTTCTACCTTGGTAACAGGTGTAACCTAAGCGCCATTACTGGATGCTACCAGAGCTACGACACAACTGTGGCCTATGGCAGTACAGTTACTTCCGGAACGAAAACGTAACACGTGCAGCATACATAAGTTAGGCCTACTCATTCAGTGACGTGCTAAAAGACAAACTTTAAGAATAATCGACTCAGATTGCCTCTGGGAAGTGAAGAGCCAAATTGACTTAGAATAATGCACTAGCCTTTCGTACAGAAGGTGTCCTGTCTGTGACGACCGAAAGTAGTGGAACATTTTCCGTTCTGTTCTCTGGTAAAATCATAAATTTAATAGGTCAATGTAAAAGATGCCACCAGCGTTCCGATTCTACTGAAGTAGTATGTATCTTCGCCGCCGTCATCTCTGTAGTCACTGTTTTCCTATCTTTGGGTACACAAAGGAATCAAGCCTTATGTGTAAGATTTGAGGCTTTCACGGCGGTGACTATGAAGAAAGCAGTCTTCTGGGATTTGGCACCGTGTATATGTGGTGTTAACCGACGTTTNCTTATGTGTGCTGCCTTTTCAAAATTCGTGTTTCAGTTCTTACCCCTTGGCAGTTAGTGGGAGGCAAAAGCAATGAAGCTCATACCAGGATGAAGAGGTGTTATGCAATTCCCCTAAGTCATATATATATATTTTTTTTACTGCTAGTGGGGTGGGACTAAGTCCCTTGTATTGCGGCCACTTCTGGCCTATTGTACCAGCCCCAGATGATAGGTGAGGGTGATTGTGGAGCAATTGGTGGAATGATGATTGGTAGGGGAAACCGAAGTGCTAGAAGAAAACCTGCCCCAGCGCCACTTTGTCCACCACAAATCCCACTTGACCAGACCCGGGATCGAACCCGGGCCGCCGAAGTGGCGCGGGCCTAAGTCGTATATTGTCGCACAGTAAAGTGTAAAAGCCGGGATAGCTCAGTCGGTATAGTGACAGGCTACTGGTAGGACGCCCGAAAAATCGGGGCTAGCTTCGCGGCAGGGGAAGGATATATTCCCTTCTCCACGGCGTCCAGACTGATTTGGGGGTCTACCCAGCTTTCAGTCCAGTGGGTACCGGGGCTCTTTTCCCGTGTGTAAAGCGGTTTGGGTGTGAGGCTGATCACGTCCTTCCATCTAGTGCCGAGGTTAAGTACACGTGAAGCTATAGCGCCACTCCCCTCTACGCATGCACAACATAAATCTTAAGCACAGGGAAACATTTACCTTAACTTTATTTTTTGGTAAATATTAGCCCGAAATCATACTTGAATGAAAATATAATATTCATTGGGCTCTGTAGTTCTAGTTTACATACAGTATAGAATTACTTCTGAAGATAGCAGCTGAGGACTTGGGAGTAGAAAGAAATCGTGTCTTATCACCAGAATGAAGGACTGAATCATAACGTAACAACGGATTATGGATATGCTGGGTGTTGTTACATTCTCGGCAGGACATTTTTTAAATGTTTCTTCTTGACGTCCAGAACAGCGCTAAGATCCAACCACAGTCCGGTGGGTTACGAGTGGTGCAGCTGGATCGTGAATCTGACCCCTATAAACTGTCGAAGTTAAGATACGTATTTTATATAACAAAGTTAACTAGTTTTTGCAAAAGGTTGCTGAAACATTAAGCTACAAGAAGCGGTCCGACCGTATGATCGGCACCTCTCCTGGTATCAGTCATATTATGCACACAGTTTCATGAGGTTTGTCATCTGATATTTAAAATTTAATTTCTGAATTCGTTTCCTAGGAATCGTTGACTATTATTTACGTTAGTCTATACACTCCACGGATTAGACCACTGGAATCAATATCTATATTATTATTATATTGTATATATACATAATAGAAGTTTCAGTCCTGGTATGACAATGAATACTTTCGTTCCAGTAAGTCACAAGTTTTAGAATGAGTGTTTTCTCATCAGTTCGTTCTGCTTGTAAAATTGATTACATTTATCTGCAATTGTCTCCATTTCGTCTTAAAGAGGTATCCGTACCAGCCATGTCGAATCTAAATATAAGTACCTCACAGTGAGATCTGAGGTTCTTATGGCAGTGAATATGAAGATTGGTGTCTCCTGGGATGTGAGGCCGTGTAAACTGTTATTTTTTTTCGAGATTTCGGAGGAACGTTGCTGCCATGAAAATGCACGGATCATGTTCTTCTGAAATATCGGTCAAATTATACCAGATTGCAGTGCATGAAGTCACACCCCAATAAAAAATAATCACATGTTACACTTCTTACACTCCTCTCGCTATTTAAACCGGTCGTCCTCGACATTTTCCTGAATCGGAGAACCAGCTGCTCTGTGTCTCTTATTTTACACTGCAGTTAAAATATACAGCTGCAATTATTACAAGGAAACCTAAATGTATTGAGATTTTTTACAGAAAGAATCACGCATTTAGGTGATAATAAATTGAAGAGACGTTCCCCTAGAATTTGATCCGCCACCATGGTCTAGTGGTCAGAGTTCCTGGCTACAGATCCAGAGGTCCGGGTTCGATTTCAGGCGCTGCCAGATTTTCTGAGAAGTAGTGGGTCTGGAACGGGGTCCACTCAGCCTCATGAGGATAATTGTGGTGCTCTTTCAAGGAAATAGCGGCTCCGGTCTAGAAAACCGAGATTAACGGCCATGGGGATCCGTTGCGCTGACCACTCGACACCCTATATCCACTAAATTTGGCACTAACTTCGCCGACAAGCGACGGTCGCTCGGTCGGTATAGTTCGCTTGCGGACTACAGGCGACGGATTTTTTTAGTCCCCTAAAAATTACCTACGCTGAACGTTTGGACTCAAAGTTATGCAGAAGGTTAACCTTATAAACCCACACGTACATACGTCGTTCTATCCTGTTTTTCCCAAACGGCGCGTCAATGAAAAGAAGGTAAATACGATAAATTATAGTCCTATATTCCAGGCGAATTCAAGTACGATTCGCAATGGACAAAATGACACAGGATCGAAAGTCTCTCCATGTTTCTTTGGTTTCCCTTTTCTAATCATCGTTGCGCCATTTCATCTTACTCATATATCGCTTCCTCTTGATTTGTGCGATAGTCCTGTTTGCCTCCTAAATTTCTTCTCATCTGCTGTTTAAGAAC